AACAAAAAAACCCCAACCAAACCAATCAGTAATATCCCAGAGGGAAGAAGGGAGAATAGAAGAAGAGACATAACCTTAACTATCTGGAAAGCTTCACTGGATATGCACATACTTAACTCACAGCACAAATGTCATGGTCCCATAGTTGCACTACAATAGGCATGTATTTCCAGATCACTTTCACAAACAACATTTCTCCTAGAGAGCAGAGTGGTGTGGGGTTTTTTTGTTGTTGTGGTTTGGTTTTTTCTTCTTTATTTCCTCCAAAAGCTCCTTCCCAGTTACCACGCACTACTTCAGAAATTACAAAAAAAAAAAAAAAAAACCCTACAAAAAACCCAAACCCAAAATACGTATCTCCGAAAAACTCTTAAGAGTACCAGCTCTGGACTAGAACATAATAGGATTGCTCAAAGCAAATAAGTGGGGTTCATATTTTTATAAATAGTTGCATTTTCATACAAGTTTTATTCTGTAAAATAGTTTCAAATTCTTACATATATGGCAAAGTTTGTGCAAAATTCAAGTCAGGTACTTCAGAGTCTTTCAATGTTAAACAGAAATCAATAAATACAAGTAGTACAATAAAAGTTAAAAAATATTAATTAAAATGCATGTTGTGCAACCTTGACACAGGTGTTATGGACCCCTTATTCCCAGAGGCTCTCTACTTACCAATTTCTAAGAGTCTATTTTGGAAGGTTTTGCACAAGTATTCTTAGCACTGCGTTTCAAAAATCTACCCAGTAACGTGTCTATTCAACAGAATAAAAACATACCACAGTATTTTAATAAATGATGATGTTTAAGAGACAAGATTCACTTCACCCTGTGAAATCTGCTTATTGTCTGTGAACAGTGAAAACAGGATAAAGAACAGAGCAACTTCAGATTACAGCAAAACAAAACAACACAACCCACCCAACCCATCAGATTAAATAACATTAAATATGTCAGTCTTAAGATAAATACAAGGATTTTTGCATAGGCCTCTGGAATACAGAGTCAGAATTATGGCCAATAAAACATCTGCAAGCAATTTTCCACTGCTCTAACCTAGCGAGTACTCAGAACCAAGAAGTTAAAACAAATAGTAATTTCATTGTCTCATAACTCAAACAAACAGAGGTAAGAAATTATTTCTGCCATCCTGAAATGCATAGTGCAGCATTCTGGTATTTGTGGCCACCATGGACTTCGGTATTTGCTTCATTCCTAAGATCACTGGGAAATAACGATCTTTAATACAGACCTACAATATAGAGAAGCTGCACAGCTCACAACATGAGCTCTGAACATAACAGGATGAGTATGCAAACCTTAAAGAGAGATGCTACTTTTAATATTCTCTCAGGATTTGCAGGCTGTAGATAAAGCGGCCTCAAAGGCAGTCATAACATAGGAAGTAGTTTAATGTATGGCATCATTCAATGAGATGTAGGTATGTTCTCAGTGTGTCTTTGGTTTAGGGAGGCGGGAATGCGTATTAGAGGACAAACTATCCCCAGAATGCAAACCGGTATTCTGTGTTTGAACATTTTCCTTTCTCTGTACCAGTGGCTTTGGGATGTTAGTCTTCAAACAGGTGCTCTGAGGCTCTGTGGATACTGGTGTGGATTTTTGACTGCTCACTTGCTTAGATTTGACAAAAGATGTAGTTGGTGGGCGGAGTTTAGACACTTTCTGACTCTGTTTACCCTTTAGGTTATCCTGACCAGATGTTGGCTGTAGTTGATCCGAACTACTTAATGGTAGAAGCTCACATTCCTTGGAAGCAGCGGAATGGTTTGCAGATGGTGCGAGAACGGCCATCATAGGAGGCACTAAAGCATTTGGGGGCTTTGCGATTCTTAAAGTCTTTGGCCGAGAAGCCTGGTTTGTGAATGAGGGTTGACCTTTCACAGCTAATTCAGTCTGCACCTCTCTAGCATCAGCTCGTGTGGAGGTCTGAAAACAGGAACGAGATAGTAATGTACCTTCTTTATTACTAGCCACGTCTCCACGGTCTTCAGTATTTTTGTTTTTAAAATTTTCCAAATATGATGCATTCTCATCTTTCATGTTTACATGTATGCTCACTAAAGAGTTTACATTATTGAGGCTATTTGTGAGAGAGATATCTGCAGCATTTTGATTCTGATGATTACTATTTTCATGCAGACCATGTTTAGGATATTCACTGTGGGCCTCGATATGTGGCATTTTTATTAGTTTTCCCTGGGCGAGGTCTGTGGAACTGGGAAGGCTGCTGGAAGGCTGTAGTACTTGAGGCTGTTAAAGTGAAAATAATACAAAAATATATTAGGCAAAGAAAACATCAGGTAACATTTTTGAATCCAACGTGCGCTGACAATGCTTGATAGAGGCTGTATATCTGATTTTTTAAAAGCAAAACTTTGACTTTGGCAAAACATGATGGTTCATGGGACGTGTACAGATGTGACTTATAATTTCAATGGAAAAAATTATAGCAGCACTGAAATACACACCAACATGAAGACAAAAAAAAAGAAACTGATTAGCTTTAATAAAAGAAACATGTAAAAGGCATGGTTGAAGGTTTCACCTAATTCTGCAGGACAGCGTAAGAACGGCACACTGATCAACTCTGACTGAAGTGCTTAATAAACAAATGCAATGGCTGTAACACCTTTACATTTCTCTTCACTGCTTACCCAAGTCAACTCTCCAAAACCTTTCATCAGTATTCTGTACCATACAAGCAAGAAAGGCATTTAATGGACCACATGAATTTACAGTGTATCTTCCTTGCCTTACTGAAGTCAGAAAATTTGATACAGTTATGTTGTAATTAGGCTACTGCCTAGACTTACGCAAGTGCTTTATTTTGAATGGATTTCAAATAGGCTGATAGAGAAACCACCTTCAGCAAAGCAGTAAAACAGAGTAAATGTGAAGCTAGAGATCATACACTCTGCACTGACAACCAAACGATAAAGATAACTTAATGAAGACTTTACATTTTCTCTAAAGATACAATCTAATCAGACACGTATAAGACAAGAGAATTGCTGGTACCTCTTCTGGGTCATTTCTATTTTCTCTTTACTCTTCCCTGTAAAAAGACTGTAAATATTAATGTGTGTGCTAGCTTCACAAACATATCCTAGACCTGCAACTTGTATACAGATCTTAGAAGAAATAGAAAAAAAATTCTGTGATTCATGGCAAACCCCAAAACCTATTAAAACTCAAACCATAGTTTTAGCAAGTTTCAAGTTTGGATGAATTTCTCATTTTCTCTATAAAGGTGGGAAACTGAACTACTACAAGCCAGTTTTACCCCTAAAATACTTGAATTCTTACCAACTGATTGACTGTATATACATAGGCTTATATTTGTTTACTAGTGAAACCTAGTCAGTAAAATAGAAACAATGTTTCTCTTTAAGAGATTTGACTAAAAATGACACTTCAGCCACTCTTTTGAATTATTCACAACTTCTAAATGAGAAAGCCAATTCTTTGGCTGGTCTTTTTAGCTCTTAGGATCAGCAGGAAATGTAATGATAGCTGTGCATGCCAGAGACGTGTTACATTTCTAGCACAATAGCACATCTAAGGATTCTTTAACCTTTTCATCTTTTCCCTTGCAGGATTACTACTGAAAACTGAATCCTCAAAATTCTTCATCATGAAAAAAAATTAATGATAATGAAAGAAATATCAAAGTTTCCAAGCTAATTTTGATTTATTAGTGTTTTTTCCCCTTAGAATATACCAGTTCTACCTGTTAGCAAAGGCAACATCTAAGATGGACCAGTAACATCAGCAAGTGATAGAGAGGTCAAGTGCAAGAGCAGTTGGAATATGACTCTTCTGGAAACAAGGAGGAGGAGGGGGGAAAAAAAAAAAACAAAAAAAACCCCAAAAACCCAAGCAAACCCTCAAAAATGGTGTCAAATGAGTATTAAAATACCTTTCTTATGTGACCAAAACTAGCTTAACTTTGTGGTTTCCTTATGTCACCTTGACAAGTTTAACCAAGCAATGCGAGGTGACGGTATTCCTGAACACAATAATGCAATATATAAATATATATGTTAAGAGTTACAGCATAAATGACCCTCAAATTCTCTTGATATTTTTGTCATTTTTTAGTGCTTATGTAATGGGTTACAGAAGTCATGATCCTTCCAGCTTAGGACATGACAGAGGTTAGCCAAAATGATTTAATGATTTAAGACCTCGCCTCCAAACACAAAATTGCTAAAAATGAATGAAGAAACCAAACCAATACATGCATGATCCCCATACAAATACTCAACAAAAATTTTCTTATCCTACTTGAAGTTTAAAATTAGTACATTTATAGCGAACAGTATTGTATCAAATTCTAATATGTAAAACTAATTATCAGAAAACTTTCCCCCTCACCTATAAAAGGCTTCTAAATGCTAGTCTTCAAACAATGCAGACAATTATCTGAGCATTACAAATCCTAACTTTATATCAAATAATGCTAGCTACGCTAATCAGCAAAATGAAAAATTTCTAAGTTACTGTATTTGTTTGGAAAGTTGAGTTAAACACAAACCCAACTGAAATACAGTAAAGCAGTAAGTTTTCAATAATGCTATTTTGAGTTCTTTCGATAAAAACTAAGTAATAGCTCAGCTTTTCAATTTGTACAACTTTGCGTTTTTATATATAAAAATAGCAAATACATATTTTTCCTTATTATTATTCATAACCTAAAAGGGTCTAAGCAGCTTAATATCTAGGAAGTTAGTAATTCAAAGGTAGAGAACAGTTACATGCCCAGAATCATGAGGACACTAATGCCCTGGTACCATTTTTGATAAATTGTTTTAAATAGTGTACTGTTTTCTAATTTTGTATTTCTACTTAGTCAAAGTCTGCCCAATTATCACAATTGCAGATTTTAATCCCTTCAAATTCCTATATGCATTAACATTCAAGATGACACCGAAAGCTGAAAACCAGCACGTCCAAAATATGCAAGCAAAAGTTCACAAGGTATCTAACACTGAAAATTGTATTATCTTCATCCACAGCGTACATGTTTGCCTTATATACATGTTTTTCTTTTACTAGGGAAGCCTTAATAAATTATGACCATGTTATTAGTCAAAAAACCCCCAAACACTCAGCAGAAGGACTAATACTTGGTGAATTCCATTACAAGAAGGAAGAGAGATTGAAAGTTAAACAAGCATTCCACCTTCTAGGCACAGTATTTTATTTCATGGAAGTCTTAAAGTTTATCATCTGAATTTCTTTGACAGCGCTTTTGGTAATATTTTGGGGTGGGACAGACCATGATTCTTTGTAGACTGCCATGCTAACCAGACTTCTACTTTTGTCCCGTAAAGAAAATATTCAGGTGGACAAACACCTGCATTCCTTTGGGATGCTCCTAAAATGTAAAATTGGACTGTAAAATATTTCAGGCACAACGTAACTGAAGAAAATTAGTTCTCCCATAATTGAAAGTACATTAGACAAAACACTTTGTGCACATGCTCCTTTTTGCATAACAAAGCAACAGACATTTCTGTACTGGCAAGAGCTCCAAAGACTTGCATGTACTGATGCACCAGTCAAAATTACCAAATTACAGTCCCTATCACATTTACTTCAGAGAAATGAGAGAAAAATCTCTCAAACTGAACTGGCTCTTACATTATCCAGAGAAAAATGACAACATATCCACAAACAGAATTACCATTATCACACAGTTATTGAACCACTGAGACTGTGTTAGCTTTGTGGTGGAAAACTGAGACAAGTATGCTATATTGAAAGAAGTTAAAGCAATGTGGTCATGACAGTGATATTTACTGCAATATCACTACTTTAAGATTCCCTTCAGTTTTGCTTTGGTTATTTTGTATCTCTAACATCAATCCCCAGCTTGATTCCCTATATAATACCTCTGCAGAATAAAATAAAGACATTTTTTCCTTGCAGTATTTTGAGGAAAGAGGGAAGTGAAGCAATGAGAAATCTAGAACTGCATGCACATCTCCAATAGACATGCATCATGCATAGGGCAAAAAAGAACAACCCAGTGAAAATGCGTGAGGAGGAGATGGGAAGAAATCTTAAGTTGTACTGTACCACGCTTTATCACAGAAGTAATGGACTAACTTCTCAACTCCTTGCCAATAGCATAATGGGAAAGCAGAGACAAGAAAAAAAACAAGGACAATGATGTCAGAGGACCAAGACAAAACAATGAGCAGTTGCCATGACAGAACCGCAACTTTTCACCATTTAATTGCAATTATCATGTTCCCCATTGGTTTTTAATCCACCTTCCAGAAACAAAGGTATCAATAGTGTTTAAGTAATGAAGTACAGATTATACTTATAGCAAGACCTGCACAGAACAGCTTTGCTCTTATAACTTCAAGTCTCTTAACACAGTAAATCTCTTACATTTCAAATACTGTTTAGACCTGTAACTAAAATTCATGCGTATGATTACAACTGCATACATCAAAAATATTTGCACTCATACACATACATGTTAGATATCTAAAATGAACAACGTCATAAGATACACTGCATGACAGATTCTGACCATGATGCCCATAGTGTTCAAAAGGCCATCTTACTAACAATTCACAACCTTGAAGATACTCCAAAATACCATGGTTTCCTTTTGGAAAAAGGATGTGGGGGGTGATGTGGAGGGAAGGGACACAAACCTTACTATGTAGGTTTTTCATTTTCTGATCAGTTCTGACATCCCTTATGTCACTGCATTGGCACAGGACAGGCTGTTATTTCACAGGCTTTCTTTTGAAGGCACAGACTTGCTGAAAGGCTAAACTGGAAAACTTATTTTCTACCTCTGAAAATATCATGGTTTCCCACCTTAAAGCTGTAGCATTTGCCAATACCTTAATTTTGGATTTTTTTTCCTCCATTTTAGCTAGCTACATTATACCCATATTTCAACATTGTAAAATAGGATTCCACAGTATAGAGTGTAACTTCAAGCAGTGATACAGTACAACCCTATTTTTTTTCTTTTCTTTTAAAGCACCATTCACCACAGTGTGAGGGTAGTAAAATAACCAGTAATATGGCATAGCATTATTTTTTTCTGCATAATCTCTATAAAAATCCCAACTTAAACAAGAATACTATCTTTCTCAGGGAGAAATTACTTAAAGAAATACATAACTACAACAAGGCAGGCATTTCATCTACAAATACAGATATATGAGAAAAAAATTCTACAATTCTATGAAATATGAACATATGTAAAAGTTTTG